GCACTGGGCCGGCGGTGTTGGATAAGCCAGGATTGTCTTGCACTGCCATGTCAGGTGGTAGGAGACGACGACCCGAGCGTAGCTCCAGAGATAACGTGTGGTAGGATTTGGGGATCAAGAAGCACCGTTCACCACTTATGAGGAAGAGCTTTATTCGAGGTGAGCTCGAGCTGGCCCACTCTGATTATGTTATCTACAGATGAGGAATATATACAAGTGATGATGACACATCCAATTGTTGAAGAAGAGTCAGTGACTGCGCTCACAATATATATATAACAGCGCTATTGGCACGATTTCATGTGATATTGTCATTATTCAAATTTTAGGGCATAAATACTTTTTTAACATGAAGTATTTTATGCTAAGGTACACCACTGCAGCGATGATATATTTGCGTCATGGATAAGACGTTGTAAATTGTATACTAACAGTCTGCAAAGGAAAAAAAATTACCACGTGTCTGCATGCTACCCTGCAAAGTACATCGAAACACGATAGTCTTCTGTCTGATAAGAGAGAATAATACGTTTCTTTGAGGTTTTACGGGAGTAGATTGGCGGGTGCTGCATGGGATGTGCGCCATGTACCACGAATGTGAAGAAACGAAAGCATTTTAGAATAGAAACCTATTTGTTGGTTGCAGCACTACGTCAAATAAGGAAAGCGTAGGAAACACCCACTTTTTCGTTCATGGTGTCGCATTGTCATCGCAGCGTAATAAACACTGCCGTCTTTAAAATAATGTATCAGTGCATTTTCTAAATAAACACACTACCTAATTCCTAGTATTGATGTTGCACCTCAAATATGTGTAATATTTTTTTTATTGACAGTGTTCAGAAGTATGAACGCAGGCTAATGACGTTCAGTCCGTACCTTTGTCGCTTCATCCCCCTATACGATGACCTCAACATACTTCCCCTTAACAAATTATTTACTTTAAAATTGGCAGTCATCATGTTTCGCCTTATTCATCACGATGTGCGCATAGAGAGTTTCTCACCTGAATTTTCGACTAATAATAATAGAACTCGTTTCCCTGTGCGTGAGAATTTCATTTACCTAAAGCTCGCACAAACTATAGGAAAACGACTGCTAAATTCGCTGGTGTGTCCGCGTGGAACACAATTCCTTTTTAAATTAAGCAATCTTTCACAAGTTCATTTTACCGACGAACCAAAATACATTTAATCACTGAAATAAGTAGAACATGTTAGACATCGGTGCAATTAGGAAATTGGAATTGTTGCAATTTTCACTTTCTTCTTGTTTTGCACTGCTTTGATGAATTGTTCAATATATGTGTAATTACAATGTCGCTACTCCAATAGTGTAATTGGAGATGTACACCACCTCTAAAGAAAACGTAGTTTATGTATGGTTTAGTTCTGCTCTTCTAATTATTGTAGACTTGTTGTTTATCTTCGTGTTTTCGAAAATTGAGTAAAGTGTTTTCGTTCATTTTGTTCACGCTACACATTGTATTTAGAACTTTGTCACAACGCCAATTGTCTGCTGCATATTATGCATCATCTTATTCTCAATGTGTTAGGAGGTCCCCCCGACAGTTTTTACTCTGGGACCTCCTCATGTACTTCCGCTTATCTGTTCATTTATATGTATGCTTACCCTTCAATAAACTTCAACTTCAACTTCAGTTACCAGATCAGCATGGCTGGGCTTTGAGCATAGGCTTAACGTTTGCTGGGTGACTAAATCGTTAGACAGACACCCACAGCTGGACAGACAGAGGGACAGACTAAATTTTTTTGTTGTTGTTGAAGTATCGCGAAAACGACTATCGTCTTCAAAACTGAGAAGCGAAAGTTCTGCCGCAGGGCGTCCAACCAGAAACCCCTCGATCCACTGCGCACAGTGTTAACCACTAGGCCCCGAAGCCGACGTTATCAGAAATACTGACGGCAAGCTATTTACGTATTTCATACGTCGTTTGGTGGCCCTCAGAGCTCGGAAACTTGAACGCGTTTGCGCCATCAGTAGGGAGATGGCACGAAAGGCTTGCGTTGGTAGCGTTGGGTGCGCTGTCGTCGCCTCTTGTGTTTCCATGAGCGCCGCCTCCACTGAGCATGGTCTCTTCAGCGCACGCGCTTATCGGACTCGTAGTTCGGCAGAGCACGATGGTCGCTTCGCTCCCTGCCGTGGCCGGGTTTATGAAAAGAGCATGCTGGTTACACACGAAGAAGTAAGAAATGTGACAGTTTGCGCTTGTCCTGTGTGTATTTGTGGGTTCGTTTCGTGCGTCTTCCTGTTTAACAGCGCGCTTTAAGTGTCGAGCTTTGACAGTTACTTGTCCCGCTCGTCCTGTGTCTGCTCATTTTGTGAATACTTTCTGCTTGGGGTACGCGCCATCGGTTACGAGGTGCTTGCAGTTTTTCACGTGACTTTACAATTTGTAGCTGTGACATCTACTTCTTCGCCCTTGTGGCAAAACGATGCACAATAAACATTGAACTACCTCAGTGAAAACACGATCCACTTTCGTGTCATCTGATTGCTAGAAAGATAGATCAGCCACGTTTTTTTAAGATTGCCCAAGAATTTTCCCTCATGTCCGACTGATGCGAGATATCTGGCACATCATTTCACAAACAAATCACTCTTGGAAGTGCCAATATGTTAGAACCGCCAGTTTCAACGTTCATGCAGGATAAGCTAATGTTCTCATGCTGTTGGGGTGAAGTTCGAGGAGCAAGGTCAAGATGAACTAATGCGAATCTTATTTTTGTCAATGAATATATGGAAATGTTCTGAAGGGAAATGTGATGACGAGTTTTCATAGACTTAAGTGCAAGGGTGTGTATAATTTGTGGTATGCTAGATAGGTAGCTGTAATTACGCGTAATGAATTGACTTGCTCTCTTGAAATAAACCTTTTTTATGAAGAGGAAGATTTCCTCCTTTCTGGGCTGTTGCACGAGAGTACAAAAGCTCACGTCACAGCATCGGCAGTGCATTTTTCGTGGAGATCAAGTGCACTAGCAACAGCCAGAGAGGACTGTGGCGGAACTCAGGGAGACTTGAGTAAAATGGTGGATAGATTCGAACATGTTGATCAAGTATTGTTGATACGGTTATTGATTTAGTTGTCAAATAGCGTAGGAGAACTTGAGGATGAATCAGAATAAGATAAGTATGCTTATTTATACGGAGAGAGCCTTAGGAATTATGGCGCAGAAAACCAAATGATTTTGACGTGTTAGAAGTTGGCACAAATAGACGTGATATGCGTTCAGCAGAAAGGTTGCGGGGTTTGGTCCTCGTCTCAGTTTTAGTAGTTCCGACTTCCGAGTACGTTCTACAACGCTGTATATAATTTTCTATATGGCAATAAATTATGTTGCTTTTAACTGCGGGTCATAAGATTGCATATGAAAACATTTCATGTCATCTGCCAGGTCTTGCACCACTCACTCATATGCTCAAAATCCTATTGAAAAGTAAGACTGTACCCCTACTTCGGATAAGGTGGCAAATGCTATCAGGAAATATAGTATGCTTTATAATTAGTTCCCCAGGTGATCCACATTTCCAGATCCCTCAACTAAGGCGTCTCTCATAATCATATGGCAGTTTTCGGACATTAAGTACCACAAATCAATAAAGAATCAATCAATCAATCAATTGATAATAATTTGTCAGGCAGGCATACATCGGAAAAATCTCTGGATCTCACCCAGACTCACTCATGACACGCATATCGCGCTTTGGACTTCCTTGCACTCCGGCCCACCAACGTTTTTCTGTATCGGACTCACTCGGACTCAAAGGAAAATTTTCTTCTGCCGAACTCACTCGGACCCAAACTCACCAAAATATTACTAACTCGCACTCACTCAGATTCAGGCTTGCTGTTCGATCTGAGACTTAGTGAGTGCGTGTGAGTCGACTCATGAGTGCATTAGTCTATAATTCGCTTTTTCGACCAAAGAATGAATAGTATTTAACAACGGCTCTTACGTAATCAATGCCCTTCCTAGAGTCAGCTTGATTTAGTGCATCAGAATGCGAGTTAACGTTCTCGCAAACCAGTTAAATAATTTGTCTTGGTCGATGTAACTAAATAACTCATTTTGATCAAGAACTTTCCTTGAAGAATTGGTGAGGTGGGACAAGGCACCTCTATTTAATTCAAACCTCTGATCAATATCTATTGTAATGATGTAAGAGTGATGCTGCTTTAAAATACCTGTGAATATACGTGAGTATAAATGGTAAAGTAGATAAGGCTGTGGTAATGCTGAAGCAGAGTAGATGGTTCAGTGGTAGATAGGCAAAAGAAAGTGGAGCTCACTCAGACTACCTCAAGAACTATATCTTGCACTTCAGACTCCTCGTACTCAGACTCACTAAACGATTCCTGGGCCGAACTCCCTCGGACTCGCACTCACGATTTCTTTGAACCGGACTCACTCGTACTCTGACTCGTTAGAATTACACTCACTCGGACTCACTTACTCACTCGCGCTTACTCAGGCTCTTGAGTGAGTTGACTCAAGAGAGAGCTGGCCAACCTATGCCTTGGGCAGGTCAGCAATGCAGATGAGAAAAACTAAGGGGTCGGAAATATTGCCGTGTGGTACACCACATAAAACATGAAAGTGACGAAGTGTTTGCTATGTTAATTAGCTGCCGGTTCATGAGGACGTTTCAGAGCCATGCTAGCCCAAGTAAACTAAGTTTTAACGATGGTGTTTTAACTTCTCAAGCATGGTGGTCCCCCCCCTCCAAGTAACCACCTTTTCTTCATTTCTTTCTTATAAAGCTTAGCCCCACGTTTCGAATTTTAAAGGGTGCATACTCTAAAGCTCTCAGCGATGCCACATAGCTGACGGTACTTTGTTGAGGCTTCAATGTGACGTGCTACATTCGCTTTCTTCTGATGACGTGGCCCTCAATGCACGCTAGGCGGTGGACCCCACATAACTTTATAGCTATATATAAATGCGCTGGACCTGCTACACGCTGGTCCTACTTACGAGGTTAGGTAATCACCGGCTCGTTGGAAGCTCCTCATAGTAGGCGTAAGAAAATACCGGTAGTAAGGAAATCTTGTCACGAGTTCGTCCATGCAAGAAAACACTGTAAGAATTCCTTCCAATATTCCAGCTGCGTCTGACTCAGGTGGCAAAGGGTTAACGAGCAGACCCAGTCGCCTATCCATCGAGACAAACATGACGGCTGCAGAAAATGAAAGGAAATAACAATATTAAAACGCTCGTTTTCAGCTTCATACTTCTACATACGAATAGCAATAGGACACATCTCAACCAATGTCACTTTTTACTCTAACTTATGTACACTGAATATTGTGTGCATATAACCGGAAATAGTGACTTTAGTTTTGTTATAATCGATTTTGTTGACCACGGAGGGATATTAATTAGTTGGACAATTCAGATACAAGCATTTTCAAATTATATCTACTTTAGCGTTACTTCCTTTTTAGCACGAAGGTGTTTCACGCTTGGGTTCACGATGGCTGCACTGACGTATATTCGGCACAGATATTACATTGTAAATAATATACTAACAGATGTAGAAGAAAAAAGGCAAGTGGAAACAATTCTGATACAGACATCGAACCACTCACTTCTCACTTCGCAGCACGCGACAAAACGCACAGGACCACAAACCGCATATAGCCCCACTTGCTAACTGCGAACCACCATGCGCTCGGACCACATGGCGTGGTCCAAGTGTGATAAGAGATGCTCTGTAGCGTAGTTACTGACTCGCGCGCAGCGCTTAGCTCGGGAATCGGGCGCTATGTACCTTTCGTGCTTAAACCACAAGATTGCTTTAAAGTTACAGTGGTTAAATAGAACACGAAAGTCCACTTCGCTCGCTGCCGCGGCCGCGTAGTAGACGTGGGCTGCTCACACAAAAAAGTAGGTAATGTGACTGTTCACGCTCATTTTGTCTATAGTTGCGCGTTAGTTTCCTGCTTCTTTCTTTCTGTTTGAGCAGCGTGCTTTAGGTGTCGGTCTGTGACAGTTGTTTGTCGTCGCTTATCTTGCGTACGGTCATTTATGCATGGTTTCTGCTTGAGGTGCGTGCAGAAAGTTTCAAGCTGCTTGTCTTCGCGTAACATTCCGATTTGTTGCTGTAGCATTCTTTCGCCCTTGTGCTGAAACAATCCACAATAAATGCTTAGCTACCACTGTGTAGACCCGTTTCACTTTCGTGCTTTACAGATTCCTGAAAAAAGGAATCAGCCATCTTTTCTCAAAGCTACAGAAGTATGGTTTTTAAATATAGAAACTGCAGCAACGTACATTATCCACGTAGTTTTTTTTCTCTGTACATGAACTTGCTAATGCATTATAGTTTTAATTTTGCCCGTCTACTGTTCATTGACAAAAAAGGCTGGGAGACACTCCTTCAAAGCCCTTAAGTGGCTTTTCGTGCGTATTTTTGTTATCCGTACCATGCACAGATGCAGAAATAAAGTTCAAGTTTATGAGTTCCAATTCAAGTTCAATTTGAGCCAACGTGAACGCCAGCAAAAGACTTTAAGGGAAGACCAGTGTGTGGTTCATGGCAGTTCTTTGTTGCCGCCACCACCAGAGGTGCTCCCTATATCCAAGTGGACTTTCGCGGTCTCACAAAGAGCACCTACGGCGCGGAACAGCGAATGATTGTTGTCTTCTAGTGCGACTAATCGGCTCCGCCATCTTTGCTGGCAGACAAAGAGTGTACAGATGCTGCAACGGAAGAGTCATTATCGACGGTGAAGATGGCTTTCGGCACGCTGCACGCACTACTACGGGGCTAGAAGTCACTAAGACGTTAAACAATGTGCTAAATCTACTCATTCTTGGCGCTCTCACTCCGCTCAACGCAAACGTCCGCTCCTAATCTGCATCCGCAACTTTCTCAGAAATAGGACAGACACACTTTGGTCAATGATTTGCCGGTGCCGTGGTCATAAATTGAAGATATTGATGCAGTTTAGTAAGCTGTCACCAGATTCCAGTAGATAGCAAAAATATTGCGCACACAGCCCACACCTGTAGCGAGTGGTGAACCAGACACATTGAGGCATTGCAGCACCGTTTTCGCCTCACTTGGCCAGACATGCTCCGCAACACTGCATTTGAAAGCTGTCACCACCACGAGCGGATCTTTACATCCAGATACAATGCGTGAGTTGATTTGGGCTTTTGAAGCAACAAGAATAGGGTTGACAAATTTAATTGAAAAAGTGACATAGCTTTAGCTGCGCAATAAAGATGAAAATAAAGATGAATATGGGTTGAAAGAGCGCTTTTAAGCTTCAGTAAAACCAGAAGCCGTTTCTGAGATGTTTCTTTTGAACCTAAACAAAGCTGAAAAAACAAGTCTCAATTGGTCTATGTTGTGGGAGCTTTCTTGGGTCTAAATTGCGGAAGCATTACAGTGGCCTCAGAAGGTAGGTGTTTTGTGGCTCGATATGAGATTTACGCCCGAGATGTTCAAGTGGTGACGTGATATACGAAACCGATAGTTCTTTTTATTACATAATTGCGTTCGTGGGAAGTGACGTCTTTGGTTGTGCTTCGCATTCAATTAGGGCTAAGCGGCCGCCGCCGCAGAGAGATGGCATTCCATAAATGTATATGGAAGCTTTGAGAATGTTCCTCAAGAATTCATAGCAAAAGGACACCGCAAGAGAAAGTCCTTTCCCCATTTTTCTCCAATCTGCCCATGCTTCAGCTTTCCATCACTTCTGAAAGATATTCATGACATCCATTGTAGCACATAAGCGGCCGATATTACGCTCGGCATTGCCCGAAGCAGCGACGGAGATAATCGGGATCGACTTCAACTGGTTTTGATAGTGTCACAACTCACTCCAAACAACGAGGACTGCCCTGCTCTACCCAAAAATGAGATCTACTCCGATGTTGACCTACACCTCCCCTCAACAGTGGCCCCCTCAACAGATCTCAGTGTGCAACATAACCCCATGCGAACACTTTCTACTATTCGCATCCTGGACTTGCGCATTGCCCCGCCACGGTGGTCTAGTGGCTAAGGTACTCGGCTACTGACCTGCAGGTCGCGGGTTCGAATCCCGGCTGCGGCGGCTGCATTTCCGATGGAGGCGGAAATGTTGTAGGCCTGTGTGCTCAGATTTGGGTACATGTTAAAGAACCCCAGGTGGTCGAAATTTCCGGAGCCCTCCACTACGGCGTCTCTCATAATCATATGGTGGTTTTGGGACGATAAACCCCACATATCAATCATTCAATGGACTTGCGCATTAAACAAAACGGCGGCAACTCGAAACACGATGCAATTACTGTACCACCACGTCTACCAGAAATTAGGCTCATCTCTCCTAACGCCAGAAAACGTCATGTCATGAAAGAGGCCAACCTCATCTTACTGGTTACCGCCTTCCTAACAAACAGAGTCATGTACTTTCCTCCATTCATAAAACTTGAATGTACAGACAAATATGAAGTAATTATACTGATAAAGCCCTACTACAAGCACGTGCTCCATCTCGATGCATTTCCCTCTTTCTACGAGCTGTGCGAAACTCAACTGCCTAGGTCTCGACAAGACAATAGAGGTTATCAGTGAAGTGCATCGCACATCGCACCATGAAAAATTGTCTTAAACTCCCAGCGATTGTCTGAACACTTGTCTTAAACACTCAAATGAACAATTGTGTTAGACACCTAACGTACTAGGTTGTCAAGCTCCTTCACCAGGTCATAGAAACAGGCCACGAGGTCAATTTTCAGTGGCTACATGGTGATTGTGTGATAAGTGGCAATGATTTCGCAGACAACGCGGATCGCAGATCCCACCAAGAACAGTACACCCTTCCAATTCTTTTGTCAAGGACAGACGCTGCAAGACAACTTCGTCACCTGGCACGTAGTTTGTGTATGCTGGAGCGGAATACCCTAAGCATAAGACATATGAGAGTCTACAAAATAAACCCTCGACTGGAACTTCGACGTCCATCCGCACATTCGTTCACGTGAAGCTTCGCTTTTTTGTCGGCTCTGCTTGGAGGTTGCCTTCACAAAAGCGTACACAACCCTCATTGGATTGACCGACAGTGCGGAATGTGATGTCTGCGGCAGCGAAGAAGACATCGACCATCTGCTATGCCGTTGCCCTCGATTTGCCTCAGATACAAAAGCTTTCTGATGCATTGCAACCATTGGACGATCGGCCACTCCCTGTGCAGATGCTGCTGGAGCACCGTCCTCGTCCTTCTTCGGGTCAAAGAGCAATCAAAGCCGTCTTGCGCTTTTTGAGGACTACAGGCCTATATTAGGAACGCCTCTGACTTTTGTATAGCGCCACCGCTGCATAAGCGTCAGCCCATATACTGACAATTTATCCTCCCTTTCCCTTCTCTTTCCTCTGTCTCTCATCTTTATACTTCCTATTCTCCCAGCGTAAGGTAGCGAACCGGGCATGTGCCTGCTTTACCTCCCCGTCTTCTTTCTTGTTGTCCTTGTCCTTTTCCCCACAAGAAACTATCTCGTGTGCATTTTCGGCGTACTTTATGTCTCACAATTTCGCAAGAAAACCCCGACACTTACGGACATTTGCGAGATCTCTGTGATCAAACCCGCACCTTTCAGGTCAGCCTCCGATTGTGATCGCCACTGAGCGAGCAAAGCGATTGTGATGGGTAAATGATATAATTACTAGAAACAGAATATCGCTATCGCGTTCGACACTTAAATACGAAGCTGTAGCGTCCCTTGATTTTTTTTACTTTTGCTGCGCTTTGTTGCTTTGACAAAAGAATAATATTCCTGCATGGTTGATTGTCGCTGTCGGTTCAATGAACCTAAAGCTCATTGAAAGCGAAGTGATGTAATTCGTAATACTGTCATTATATCTCGTCCCGCACCGCGAAGCAGCCGTATGAATATTACATGTTCTTGCCCACAGCAAAAAGTTCATTTCCTTCTGGTGTTAGCTCTAACATTTCCTCTGTCTGCAGGTCCATATTGCAGGCCAATTTCGGCAATACAAAATTGTCCAAGTGCTGATCGACATTTTATTGGTAGTGATCAATTCTAATCACTTTGTTTATATACATTGAGTGTGAAAATAAAGCATGATGGGTATTTTTCTTAACAACCAAATTTTTCGTAGTGTCCAAAAAGATTCTTTGTGCTTTGAAGGTTAAAAATGCAGAAAGTTGAACAAGGTAGTTGAAACAAGGTAGTACAAGGTAGTAGAGAAGCACGCCCCATTAAGAAAAATTAAGTATCAATTAAAAATGAAAAACAGGAATGCCTTTGCATTGTGGTTTTATGAGATCACACCTGCATGCCTACATTCTTTATGATAAGGCACTGTAAGTCCAGTTTCATGTGAACAAAACAGGTACATCATTGAAAAGGTCACCTAGTGGTTGATCTTACTACCACTGACGAACAGTGAAGACGTTAAAACTTTCCTAAATGTACTTTCAACTTATGGAGCGGCCGCCCATTAGCGCTTATTTATTTTTGGTATTTTTTGGAATATAATGTACGACCATGTTCTGTGGATTTTCAGTGCTTTGAAAGCAATACTGTAGCAGAACAGACTTACACTCCAATGCCCATCTCTGCATGATTTTGTAGCAATCCGATACGTCTCCATTTTCATCGCGGTCACTGGCGATCAGTTCCACGGCATCCTCAGCAATATTTCCCATCGCTTCAGCGTAAAGCTGAATAGTCCGAGGCCTAAAGGTGCATGGCTGAACCGCTGACCTTATCTGGTGCCATTCTTCGTCCTGTCTGCAGAGAATACGACATGACAGCGTGACATGACCATATAACGTCTCCATGCGAGATTTGAACGAGACAGTATTTCATTGTTACACCGTCGATACAACACATAGCCGAACTTCCTACGGGCAGAATGATGCTAATTTGTTCTTATTTATATGAAGAAGACCGCGTAGAAAAATAACGTAATGTTTTTCGGTGTCAGTAAAGGAGCCAATAATATAACGCTGTTGTGTTGCGATGTTAGAGCAACTTTTGCTGCACGTGCGTTTAAGCCGTGTAGTGACCTATTCCATGTTAATAAACAGTGGTAGGCGTCGTCGACATACTCAACTGCTTCTGGCGACGTCGTGGGGCGTAGCGCCGCCTAGCTCATTGCTCGCCATAGCCCTATACGATCACGGGGCACGCACGAGAGACTCGCCATTGCTCTGTGCTCGGAGGCAGCTCTGTGGCAGTTGCCACGTGATCATGGAAGGCGGTGGCAAGGTTCGGGTTGGGACTACGTGTTGTGACGTCGCTACAAGCGCCTATGTATGTCAACGGCGCCTGCCGCTGTCCAATCACGGAATACGTCATTGTGCAACCAGAAGACTGCAGTAATACTTCGAAATCGCAGGTTTCGTCGCAAGCGTGGGAATAGCATTTATGTACACACAAAAAATCATAATCAGATTTATTCCTCAGTTCACTGAATTGTCAACTAGATCATTATAACCAATTAGCGACCAAGTTTAGAGGCTTTTCGTGACGCTGATAGCGGTGTCTTCAAGCTCACTTACTCCTCCGAGGCTAATGGTCATTTTATGCTCCCCTCTTCAAAGCTGTTATTAATGGTCAAAAAATATAAGGTACTTTCTTCACCCCGGCTCCGTCTTTCTGAATGAACTACCCAGCAAAGGCGAACAAGAACTTGTATGCTGTCCGGAACAGTAGCCATGTCCGACCCTAAGGTTGCTGCAGACAGGCAGTATGCAGTAGCATCATGAAGCCACATGCGCGCCTTCTTCCCCGCGCAGAGCTCCATATGCCGAACCTTTGATACAATAAAAGGCGGCTTCCATGTCAGTCTGAACGCTAAAAAACACTAAACATCACGTGATGACGTCGCTATGGGAAATCACAGCACAGAAAAATTGGTGCCGTTGCGGCCACTTCATGACGTGACGTCAATGAATGACGTCATCATATGATGTCGTCGCTTGATCAAAGGTGGAACGATCATGCAGGCAGTGCAAAGCAGGAGCAGGAAGCTGGCAAAGCCTCATATCCTGGAGACGGAACGTCAGGTACCGAAAGCTTTTAGAGGGTGCCTTGGGAATATCTACTTTTCTATACTGAGAAGGCAAAGAAGTAGTAGGAGATTGATTTCGCCATCGAGTCTTCTTAATTCATTTTTTAGTTACCCTGTGAGTATCCGAAATTTATTAGGTACCCTGTGAGTATTAGGTACCCGAAAGTAATTTTTGCCGGAGTGCACCGACATTTCAATGGCGTATTGTCGTCACTAACACATAGCGTTGGTAAAACGAACACCATCGAATGAGAAAGAAAAAACTTGAAAAAAGCTTTAGATTGATCCCTCTTCATAAGCCACGTTTTTTCTCCATGCTTTTCCACGTTTCTGAAGAGGTTTGGGCACGCCTTTAGGCAGCAGAGTGGGTCAGGGAACAAACGCCTGTTCACGCCCTGTTAGTCGAAATGAAGATGAAGAACTAGGCTCAGGCTGGGCATAAATCAAGAAGTCAAGATTAGCTCTCGTCACTAAGAGTAACATACTGAATTCCAAGGAAAGAGAAGTGTGCCACGTAGGCAGAGAAAGAAGCGCGGCGTTAACATTCCATCAGCAAGCGCAGGACCAGACTAACTGGAGAAACATTGCAGATGTCCTTGCTTTGTCGTTAGAGAAGTTAGATTGATCATGATGATTAAATGTAGCAATAAAGTAAAATGAAACTGAAACCTGTCTTACGCATTCAGTATGCCAGCGTTAGCAAAGTACTCCTTTCTTCTTGATTTCAGCTATGATATCCTTAACCCCCGTTTCTTCCCTAATCCACTCTGCTCTCTTCTTGTCTCTTAAGGTTACACCTACCATTTTTCTTTCCATTGCTCGCTGCGTCGTCCTCAATTTAAGCTGAACCTTCTTTGTAAGTCTCCAGGTTTCTGCTCCGTAGTTGAGTACCGGCAACATACAGCTGTTATATACCTTCCTCTTGAGGAATAGTGGCAATCTACCTGTCATAATTTGAGAGTGCTTGCCAAATGTGCTCCACCCCATTCTTATTCTTCTAGACACTTCAATCTCGTGGTTCGGCTCCGCAGTTATTACCTGCCCTAAGTAGACATAGTATTTTACAACTTGAAGTGCACTATTACCTATCTCGAAGCGCTGCTCTTTTCCGAAGTTGTTGTACATTACTTTCGTTTTCTGCAGATTCATTTTAAGACCCACCTTTCTGCTCTCCTTGTCTAACTCAGTAATCATGAGTTGCAATTCGTCCCCTGAGTTACTCAGCAATGCAATGTCATCGGCGAAGCGCAGGTTACTAGGTACTCTCCATTAACTTTTATCCCTAACTGTTCCCAGTCTAGGCTTCTGAAAACCTCCTGTAAGCACTCGGTAAATAGCATTGGGGAGATTGTGTCCCCCTGCCTTACACCCTTCTTGATTGGTATTATGTTGCTTTCTTTATGAAGCACTATGGTAGCAGTTGATTTCCCGTAGATTTCTTCCAGGATGTTTATATATGCTTTATCGACGCCCTGATTCCGCAGTGTCTGCATGACGGCTGATATTTCTACTGAATCAAACGCCTTCTCGTAATCTATGAAGGCTATGTATTGTGGTTGGTTATACTCTGAGCATTTCTCTATTACCTGATTGATAGTATGAATGTGGTCGATTGTTAAGTAGCCTGTTCGAAATCCTGCTTGTTCCTTTGGTTGATTGAATTCTAATATTTTCTTTACTCTGTTAGCAATTACCTTTGTAAATAGCTTGTATACTACAGAGAGCAAGCTAATCGGCCTGTAATTCTTCAAGTCCTTGTCATCTCCTTTCTTATGTATTAAGATGATGTTAGCGTTCTTCCAAGACTCTGGTACTCTTCCCGTCAGGAGACACTTCGTAAACAGAGTGGCTAGTTTTTCTAACACAATCTGTTCTCCATCTTTTAGCAGATCTCATGTTACCTGATCCTCACCAGCAGCTTTGCCTCTTTGCATGCTCTCCAAAGCTTTTCTGACTTCTTCTATCATTACTGGTGGGGTGTCATCTGGGTTACTGCTATTCTTATAGTATTAAGGTCGTGGTTGTCTCGGCTACTGTACAGATCTCTGTTAAACTCCTCCGCTATTTTAATTATCCTATTCTTATTGGTAGTTATTTTGCCTTCTTTGTCCTTAGTGCATACATCCGATTTTTGCCTATCCCAAGTTTCCTCTTCACTGCTTTGACACTTCTTCCGTTTTTCAGAGCGTGTTCAATTCTCTCCATGTTATACCTTCTTACATCGGATACCTTACGCCTGTTAATCAACTTCGAAAGCTCTGCCAGCTCTATTTTGTCTGTTGTACTTGAGACTTTCATGATTTGACACTTCTTAATGAGATTCTTCGTTTTCTGGGAAAGCTTGCCAGTGTCCTGTCTAACTACCCTGCCTCCAACTTCCACTGCACACTTCATAATGATACTCGTCAGATTATCATTCATTGTATCTATGCTAAGGTTGGTTTCCTCACTAAGAGCCGAGTACCTGTTCTGAAGCGAGACTCTGAATTGCTCTACTTTCCCTCTCAGTGCTAGCTCATTGATTGGCTTCTTGCGTATCAGTCTCTGTCGTTCCTTCCTCAAATCGAGGCGAATTTGAGACCGTACCATTCTATGGTCACTGCATCGTACCTTGCCAACCACTTCCACATCCTGCACGATGCCTGGGTGTGCACTCATTATAAAGTCTATTTCGTTCTTATTTTCGCCATTAGGGCTCCTCCATGTCCACTTGCGGTTTCCTCGTTTTCGGTAGAAGGTATTTAAAATCCGTAAATTATTGCGTTCTGCGAATTCTACTAGTAGCTCTCCTCTGGCGTTTCTAGTACCGATGCCATAATCTCCTACTGCCTGGTCTCCAGCCTGCTTCTTCCCTACCTTTGCATTAAAGTCTCCCATCAGTATTGTATACTAACACATAGCGTTGGTAAAATGAACACCATCGCATGAGAAAAAAAACTTGAAAAAAGAGGTTTGGGCGCGCCTTTAGGCCGCAGATTGTGTCAGGGAACAAACGCCTGTTCACGCTCTGTTAGTCGAAATGAAGATAAAGAACTAGGCTTGGGCTGGACATAAATCAAGAATTCAAGATTAGCTCTCCTCCCTAAGAGTAACATACTGAATTCCAAGAAAAGGGAAGTGTGCCACGCAGGCAGAGAAAGAAGCGTGGCGTTAACACTACATCAGCAAGCGCAGGACCAGACTAACTGGAGAAACATTGCAGATGCCCTTGCCTTGTCGTTAGAGAAGTTAGATTGCCCATGATGAATTACCATAGCAATAAAATAAAAAGAAAGTGAAACCTTTCTTACGCATTCAGTATGCCAGCGTTAGCAAAGTAGTCCTTTCTCTCCGTGTGGTAGAGCTTGAAGGGAAGTGCTCCCATTCGGTAAGGCTTCCGTCCCTCCTCTTGGTACAAGGTTCTAATGTCGTCAGCGTTGAAAAGGTGCACCAGGACTCGCCTTCCAGGGAGTTGTTCTCCCACGACAGGGCCGTACCGCTGGTACATGTCCCAGGCCGCTTCATTCTGCTTCCGTATATTGTACCTCCCTGAAATAGAATGGAACAATAATGGGACTGTCTACCGCTCAGAAATTTTTTTTTGATTGTGGCACCAATGGAAAGATCGTTCATCACAATGGTGGCAACACAAGTATGCTTTTGTGCCAGAAAAAAAAGGAATCCTAATTTTAACTTGATCTTGAAAGTCGATAAAAAGTGACCACTAACGTCACCCAACAGCGAATGTGGTCGATATTGACTATCTATTGGTTGGACAAGAAATCGCCAGAGGTAGAAATAGTTTGCTTGAAAACAAACACGTTTAACATTAATTTGTATTTTATGCCCTTGAGAAAGCTTTGTATTGCGCCAGAAACAATTTTTTTTACCCGTTGAAATAGGCGCCTAGTGGCGCTGCTGGCGGTGTGTTCGCTTGTATGCATGCCTGCCTGGAAACGGCAGAGAAACGCGACCACGGTGTCCGCCACCACTCGTGACAAGAACGAAAATTTGTGTGCGTGCCTAAAATGACCACTGAGGTATTTATGTTTTATCAATAACCAAACTTGATGAAGCCTGCAATAACCGCGCGCGGTTTCAGTTTTGTGATTTTCCCCGGCACCCACCAGTGTTGTCGGCATTCATCCCACCGATGTGAGGAGACATAACGCGGGCAGAAAAACTCCTTTTTAAAAAAAATCTACGTGCTTTCCAGAGAAACCGCTGGAAGGTTAGACTCTCCACATGGTACGCTTTTTATTGCGACACAGAAAAGGAGAGCAATGAAGGACGTTAGACAGTCCATTTAACGTAAGATAGCAGTAGATGAAACTTCTTACTACCAAGGTGAGCGTAGATCATCTTCTGTAAATTGTTATTGTTTGGGACTCATGGTGACCTGACGATTTGTCAAAAAGAAAGAGGCAGATATACGTAGTTTTAACCTCCTCAGTTCCGGGAATGCACCAATAAGAAAGCATTCGTTAAACTGTAATATTTAAATCTCTGCCCTTAAAAACAAACGCAGAAAATTATGAATTCAAAAAAGTGTACGGTTGTCTCAAAATCTGATGGTACCTGTTTGTGTACTCCACATCTTTTGATGACTCTACGATTGAGTGACACCAAAGTTTCAGATTGGAATGACTTTGAATGTAATCTACAAGCGGTCCACAGTTAAAGGAATCCCCTGTAGACGAACTTAGCACAAGGACGCAGACGAGCACTCGTGCAGTACTCAATCATTTTCGTTCGCTCGTGTTACAAAGATGACAAGATACACGGTGCAAGTTCTGAGGACTTCATGAAAACAAATCATCCCTATTGTTCCTAGATGAATTTGAACACACGATCATCGAACTGTGATGATTTGTAGCATTAAAAACAACGGTGCCCATTTGGGTACCCAAGGACTGTGGAGGTTATTGCTACGATATATTGCAGCAAAATGTCAAGAGCAAACAGAAAGAAAATGCCTGCTGTCATGCGCTCAAGAGCGAACACCAACATTACCTCTCCAATAAGCGCATGCAGTGGCTTACTTCCACAAAGCCATATCGATGAGCAGTCCAAAGTTTGATGGGCCAGTAGATCGCGTTGCATTTCCCTCCTTACATATAATGATCACAGCTGCGATAAGGTATGCAGAGGTTCTGGTGTGTCTGCTGAGACAGCACACACTGAGTGACCAAGCCCCACGGTTCACTTAGCCAGTAAATCTTGTATGGAGTTGTTCCATGTTATACGACCTTGGTGGCAGGCGGAAACAGACTAGCGCCTTCAGACCAGGCTGATTAGAAGAGAAGAGGCACACTTCGCTTGCAGCGCATCTCTTTTGAACTCAATCACCACACACTTTCACACAACTGTGCATCAATATAGAGCTTTTTGCTGTGTAGGCTGGCACCAGGGTTTCCAAAGAGCATGAGTACGCGTCTAGTTACGCATCCTAAAAGACGTGCCTGATAGTTGTGTGCTCCGAAGCGAAGCCGCATAATAGTCACGCGCACTCCCAGTGCCATAGCGTTTTGTAAAATATGCATTGGTTCAGGTACTTACCATTTGAAATGTTGTGCAGCCAGTGCGTACGCACAGCCTGGCACACCGGGCACCCTTGCGCAGAGAGCAGCGCATATTTAGTGCCGCCACCCCATCGTCTTGCGTACGCAAGCCACTTGGGCACCGAACTGTTTAAACTCTGTAATGTCAACTGCATATATTTTACGCACGTTTGTCTCGAAGCGTTTCTCGCCCCGCCGCGGTAGTATAGTGGCTAAGGTATTCGGCTGCGAAGCCGCAGGTAACGGGATCCAATCCCACCTGCGGTGGCTGCATTTTCGATGGAGGCGAAAATGCTCTAGGCCTGTGTGCTCAGGTTTTGGTGTACGTTCAAGAACGTTAATCATATACTGGTCCCAATTTCTAGAGCCCTCCGCTACGGCGTCTCTCATAATCATATGGTGGTTTTAGGATAATAAACCTGACATATGAATCAATCACATAAAGATGCATTCTGTGTAATAGGTAGCTTGCTATAAACCACGAAAGTTTACTCGCGTGAAATATTTTCGAACCTTCCATGCGGTAAACGATAAACAATAAAATTCTAGCTAATGCTGATGCTGATGACCTGAGATGGCTGGCGCTCACCCACCGAGAGGGGAGGGCCAAGAACAGGGCGGCAAGATACTTAAATGACACCAAATTGAAATTAAAGTCAATCTGAAAAATTAGTTTAGAGATAACAATACCAATAAACAAAAATGTTTGCTGAGCAAGCTGTCAAAACATCTCTTGTTTTTGACAGACATCGGTACGAATTATAAAATAAAGATCTGAAAAGGTTAGGGTTCACTAGCACGGTAATCTTTTAGTTGCGTTGATGTAATCAAACGCAGTAGAGCATATACCCCTGTGGCAGTAACCAAATGAAGTGCCACCAAGTGATAAAGGTATCGGTAAATTTACATGTATTCCTAGCTTTTGCGATGGGGCTACTAAAAACCTTTTTCTCTGATAGTTACGATGACAGAATAAAAAGAAATGTTCAATTGTTTCAATTTCGTTGCAGTAAATGCACAGCGGTGACCTCTTGAGTAGAGCTTTGTTAACGTAATTATTTAGTTGTGGAAATGCACAGCGCAATCTGGTATGAGTGACCTCGAACTGGCGAGATACACCCCACTGTTTATTCCAGCAATACCTCAAATGCTGGAAATATTTAAGTTTATCCAAATTGCCTATTTCTCGTTGCAGACAAGCATTTCGGAACCTTAGCGCTGTCACGTGAGCCGTACCTGGCAAAACTGGGATGGTGGGCCCACTCAGGGATACTGCTGCTAAAGAGTCCGCCATTTGTTCAAATATAATCCGTGGTGAACCGGTACCCATAGCAAATGCAGTTTCTTTTTACGTTTTTCGGTGGTGAATGCCGAAACGTATTCATCAGATCTGCATTTGCTGCCGCAGAAAGTGCATAACATACTGATAACGAATCTGTAATATCTGCACGTAAGCTAATATCAAGGTGAACATCTTTTTTATCTTCTACTAGCCGCCAGAAAATCTCCACTACGCACAAATAGCAAACTGCCTTGTACAACAGTCAAAGACTCACTGCCCAATCGGGTCAATATTACAAATTGCTGCCGTCATATTCATTGCGGGGGTCTCGTGCTGAAGTACTTTAACAGTACAAACAGAGACACACAACAAAGAAAAAGACGACACACGCAAGCGCTGATTTTTAAATGCGAAGGATTTCTTAGCAAAATTCGGCGAATTTGAGCGTATCTATCTATCTATCTATCTATCTATCTATCTATCTATCTATCTATCTATCTATCTATCTATCTATCTATCTATCTATCTATCTATCTATCTTATCTATCTATCTGTCTGTCTAGCCGCCTACGACTTTTAGCTCTCTGTGGTCGTTTAGATAATGGTATCAATACAAAACTTGGTATGGCATAACATGACTGTATAAAGAACATATTCGCCTAGTCATAACATGAAAGTTATGACAGGTATGTCATGAACGTCATGATTTACGTTTCATGGTCCTGCAGCTCTTGCGGTGGCTTTGTTCACATGGCATGTTTCAAAACTGGTATGGTGTGACTTGATTGCATGGCGAACACATGTTATATACCCTAACATAAAAATTATGACATACGTGTCATGTAACAACATGACTAAATGCCACGCTCATGATGCGCTCGCAGCCGTTTCGCCAGCCTCACGTATACAAAATTTGGTATTACGGCACGTGAATTGATGGCGAAGGTATGCGGCTGGTGCAAACATGATAATATAGGACGCCGTGTCATGTAACAACATGACTACATGCTGTGCTCATGATGTGCTCGCAGCCGATTCGCTAGCTTCACATGTACCAAACTCAGTTTTATGTGACGCGATTGGACGACATAAGTGAATGACACATCAAAACATGATAATCCCGACAGAATCATGAGATGCGTGTCATGTGAGAACATGACTGCATGCCCCAGTCAAGGCGCGAATACCTTTGGACGTGACACGGTGCGTGTGCTCGCCGGCATTACTTTCGTTGCGTCCAGCTGGCGTTGCCACGCCAGGCGCTGGTCCTGTCATATACTCGCAGGCACGCGCTGCGCTACGTTGCTTTGACGCATGCGCGTTTCAGCGTGTCCGGCGTCCAACCATCACGAAAAGAGGGAGATGCAGTGTTGTCTTGGTAACGCATCGGCCCGAAAAGCAGTATGTCGCATTTCACGACGGTTGCCGTCGGGCGGCGCCAACGAACGCTGGTCGCGTCGGTCGCACCTGGCGTCAGACTATAGAGTGCAAGCGTTTGGCTAACGTAGCGTCGGTGTGCCCAACGTGTGCGCGCGTCAACGCTACATTGGAGTATATCGGGCCCTTCTTGATGCGCTCGGGACTGTTTCGCTAGCTCCACATATATCAAATTTGATGTTACGTGACGTCAATGGATGACAAAATTATGACTGGTGCAAACATGATAATCCTGACACGCGTGTCATGTAAGAACATGACAACATACAGCGCTCATAGCGTGGTCGCGGG